TTTGTGGAACTGGAGCAGAAACAACACCTAAGGGGAAAAAGGAGGGGGAAATGATATCTGCATTGCAAGTGGAACTAATGAATAGGGTTTTCCTCCCAAACAAAATTTAGCAAAATCCTTGGGAAGGGTTCTGTTTCTAGTTGGTATGGATGGTTAGGACAACTACCATACAATTATCTGCAACCATAACCATGTAATTTCCACATCCAATTTAATTATGATGCTGCATTAATAAAAAAAAACACTATGATATTCTAAGGGATTTCAAATACGCTGCCCCAGCCATTGCATGATTATTAACGCGACCTCGTTGTGAAAACAACTTAAGCTTTGTTCGCTGTATCTCGCCATAAACAGAAGAGAACCGTTTGAATTATGGCACTGAAATAATTCCACATTTCCTGTAGACAAATAGTTATTATAAGCAAAGAAAGTGTAAAGAGAGGCACTTCAAATGATATAGAAACTTGCATTTAGAAGCACCAGGTTTTTAAATTTTTATTTCCTAACTCCAAAATCCAACACGCTCTGTAGATTTAATAGCTCCTTCACATTCCAAGACAATCTGAGGTGTGAAAAAAAGAGACAATTCAAGCTTTAGGGAATATTGGAGAATTATGTGCACATCTCGCACAAAGCGATCACCATATCTACTGTGGAGAAATAAACAGAGAACTATGACCGGACAAATTCATCCCTGATTTAACTCACATGCTAATCAATGAACTGCGACCAAAACATGATGGATGGAGGCAATGTTACCTTATTTCCATGTTACCTGGCATCCTCAGCCAGTGCCAATCTCAGGATGGGGAAGTAGAACCATTACTATTGCATAGCACCTGGCATCTTCGTGAATGGATGCCATCCTGAATCCGGATAAAAATTGCCCTCTCTTGAGAAACTCATTATGGCTGCATGCTCCTCATTTCATCACCATTTGTTCTCTTGCAACGCCGAATATGCAACTGGTTTACTACCATCTCTATGAATACTCAGACCAAGTCGTATGTTAATGCAGTGCTGTGTGAGCGCCATTTCAATGCGACTGGATCTCACATGGCTCTGTTAATGTTTGTAGAAAGGAAGCATCTGTGACAGGCCAGTGAAGTGGCACCTTTGTGTATCAGCTGGTAGGGAAAAAGTAACCGCAGCAGCCATCTTTGGCTCATGTGGTTCCTTCCTACAGACATCAGTGGAATGAGATTGGTCCTCACAGCAGAAGTTGCCATACAGTTCTAGTATCAAGGCAAGACTGTCTGATTGCCCAGAAGCGGATTGAGTCTGCAGTAAGGGGCAACGGAGTGGAGGGCAGCCCCACAATGCTTTCCTAAGAAATGCCTGTGAAGAGGAAACCATTTTAGAAGAAGGCAAATCATATGACAGAGTGGACTATGTTTTTTGTTTTTGTTTTTTAAAAAACAGGGCTCTACCATTTCTCTTGCCACTTGTCTCAACTGTGCCAAAGAGTTGTAATGTGGAATAGCAGAGAATCTGAACGAGGATACATGGGGTTATATTATATTTACCTATAGCATAATTAGATGAAAGTAAAACTGGACTCTGTTTTATCAATATCTCATTACATTGGCAAAGGCCCAAGAAGAATCCTGGCATGCTGGAACATGCTGGATAAGTGTACTGAGGTGTCCAAGGATAATAAAAAAGGTAAGGGTAAAGGACCCTTGGATGGTTAAGTCCAGTCAAAGGTGACTATGGGGTTGTGGCGCTCATCTTGTTTTCAGGCCAAGGGAGCTGGTGTTTGTCCACAGACAGCTTTCTGGGTCATGTGGCCAGCATGACTCAACCGTTTCTGGTGCAACGGAACCCAGAGCGCACAGAAATGTCGTTTGCCTTCCCGTCGCAGGGGTACCTATTTATCTATGTGCACTGGCGTGCTTTTGAACTGCTAGGTTGGCAGGAGCTGGGACAGAGCAACGGGAGCTCACTTCGTCGCAGGGATTTTTCTGATTGGCAAGCCCAAGAGGCTCAGTGGTTTAGACCACAGCACCACCCGCGTCCCCAAGGATAATAAGGGTGAGCTACAAGATAAGATGGTAAACATAAATCAAGAAACTTAAAAATAAATGGGATACAATTAGTTGTAGGGTGATCAACTGCTGGCTCTCTCTGTGACAAAGAAGATGGTTTAGCATTCATAGGTAGATGAAGTTACTTGTGAGGAATCAGCTTATGGTGTTTACTGCATCCTTTTTCTTAACACCTTAGGCAGGTGAAGGGAAGGGCCATTGCTCAGTGGGACAGGATAGGTGCGTATAAGGCCCTAAGTTCAACCACTTACATGCTCAGTTAAAAGTCCCTTAAGTAGTCTCTGCCTGAGACAGAGCTGCAGCCTGCCAGTCAGAGCAGATAGTAAATGGACCATTGGCCTAATCACAAACAAGGCAGTCCATTATATCCATATTCTCAACTAGAAATTCTGAGTTTGTGTGTAACCTATAAAAATGTTCAGTCCAAGAAAGATTCAACGGCTGATGTACAGTCAAAAGGTACCTTTACTTAAGGAACCACCACTACCACCATGTAACTGAGAATGGGGGTTGACAGGGTTGGGGGGGTATAACATTTTAAATAATAATAATAATAATAAACCCAGAATAAACCTCTTTTTGAGAATCAAAACCTCTGCCTTTTGTTTACCTACGGGACGTAGCATTTAATCGTTAGCTGCATATATGCTCATTTTAGGGGGAAAGGGGAGTGTAAAAGTGCTTAAGTATACTTTATACATTTGTGCTGTGCGCCTACTACTTTCATTACTAAATCGATAGCTAATTATAATGAGATGAGGAGATGATTATTTTGAAACATGTACAATTCATACGGTCAAAGCCTCAACAGCAATGTGAGCAGCTTCCTTGAAAGTGTTCCACTTTGTGCTCTCTCTCTGTTAGAATAGCAATCCAAACTGGGCCATCTATTTGTAACGACTCCCTTTTCAATGAGGCTGTAATCCTATACCTATTTACACGGGAGTAAGCCCTTTTGAACTCACTTGGATTTCTGTGAAGACATGGAAGGTAGCAAGGATCCGGTTTGGGCCTGCTCACTCATGTTTATCATTAGGCCCCTCTGAGCATGGGGCAGGGCTAGGACATCTGCATAAATCTCCCCCCTCCTTTGCCATGCTACCTTTACACTATGCCTAACATGGCAAGGGGGTGAGAATTTATGCTGATATCCTAGCCCCTGCTGCTTCCATTTGCACCCAGTGCCTTTGACATCTCACCTTGCAACATGCTAAAGATCCATCTTAGCCTCCCCATTCCTGGTACACAGGTGTGATACCACACACAGAGGCTTTTCAGACATTATCAATAGGATCGCCGATAGCAGTGTAGCAAAGGAGCATAATATTTATGGGCATGTGAGCAGGATCACAGCCCTGGGCTCGAACACTTTCTTTTACATCAGATCCTGCTACCCAGACTCATCCTGGGGCTGCTATCACCATGGAGGCAGTCAAACTGACTTTTGAAGGAAGCACACAAGAGTACAAATTGCCACCACAAAGTCACACTGCATTTCCATGTCCGTGTTGCACGTGCTCGCGCAAATGCACAGACACAGAAGAGGGAGAGAGAGACACCCCTTTGCAACTCTGTAAAGAAATGGACCAATGAAAATGCAGAAAAGTTCCCTTTCTGATTCTTGCACTTGCCAGTTATGAAAAGACAACTCTTCCTAAGCAGAACAACAAAAATAAAAGCCGGTTGACAAAACATTTCCCCCCCCATACAAAGATGTGTCAACCCTGAGCTTGTAATTAAGAAGTTAAAATCTGTGATTTATATATATATATATAATATTCATATATATAAAAATAGATGATCATACTAAGACTAAAAAAGTGAAAGAAATTTTCCATGTCAGTACTATATATATATATATATATACTTGTGTCGACGTTTTAGCAACAGAGTTCCCTTCTGATACAGAAACTAATAGATACGAAGGATGCCGTTTCTATGCAAAACTAACATATTGATCCAATTACTGTTATCAGTTCCTTTGAAAACTGCCATTTGGTTAAGGTAATGAATACAGTTGCAGGAATTTCTACTTGATGCCAAACCTGCAGCTAAAGAAAAAGGAGAGATTCTATCGCAAGAGATTAGTTTTTATGTCAAAACCCTCGAGTTAAAACTTTTCAAGCGTTGTTAAGACTTTGCTACAAACCAGATGGTGATGGGCAACTTAGTGGGCGCCTTTTTCAATTACATACCATGGCTAAAGGGTAAAACCAGCTAGGACAAAGAGTGTTAGAATTCAAATCAGAAGTGTGCTAAACAACGTGAATATTCTGAGACGAATGATGTTCCTTGATTAGTAGACTTATTCCTGCTTTTGTTTTGGACCTCTTGGCAAGTCTTCTATTTATGGCCAATGGAGTACAAATAATACAAAATATAAAAGATACTCCCTCAATAGTAAAGATCATTTTGGTGATCTTAAGTGCGATACAGAAGCACTCCTTGGTTTTTTTTATGTATATGTTTGAAGTCACATTTTGCTATTTTGGGGGGCCTTGGACTTAGCTTGATTTTTTTTTGGTGGGGGGGGGACGGACATTCTTTATTTTGTTTCTCTTCTCTTTTTTCTTTGTAATGGAAAACCCACACTTTGTACCCTTAACCCTTTCCCGCCTCCCCCCCTTTTTCTTCCTGCAGCATAAAAGCAAATGAAGCTCTGAAAAGTCTCCTGTAATAAAAACGTGAGAAAAAGAGATCTTGCTGAGGAGCGGACAGCGTCTTCATCACAGCTATCTGAAGGAATCAGGGAAAGGTCTCTCTGGCACCTGGTGCTCTTTGGAAATGCACAAAGGGGAGAAGGTTGCAGTGCCGCTCTCTTCTAGTAGAAAACTGTAAGTATTTGTGGCATGGTCCGTTGCCCAAGAGCATAAGAAAAAGAGAAAGTTGGCTGTTTTTGTTTTTATTTTCTGAAAGCTAAAAGGCAGTCATCGCTGACCAGAGCCAGGATTATCTGCACTGTTTTTGCAGTAGGAGAGCCAGGCAGATGACAAACCACGTGAGTGCTGACCAACTGGGCTGACTGGCTGAAGAAGAGTCCACTTCCCTTCGGTCTGAATCAACGAGGGGTGCGTCTGTGGTGATGAATTCAAACTCTGTGGGACAAATGTCATCCGTGCAACCGCTTCCACTTCCCGAGCCACTGGTCTCTTCACCTGCGGGAGTGGAGGGGAGAGGGAGAATGTCATCATCGTCATCTTCATCGTCATCATCATCATCACCACCATCTATTTCTTATACCCCGTGCATCTGACTAGGTTACCCCAGCCACTCTGGGCAGCTTCCAACAAAATATAAAGGAACACACCAAAACATCAAACATTAAAAGCTTCCTGAAACAGGGCTGCCTTCAGATGTCTACGAAAAGCCATATAATTGTTTATCTCAAAGGAATGTCTCGACCCCCATTGTTCAGCCCAGACACTGAGGTCCAGCTCCGAGGACCTTCTGGTAGTTCCCTCACTGCGAGAAGCGAGGTTACAGGGAACCAGGCAGAGGGCCTTTTTGGTAGTGGCGCCCGCCCTGTGGAATGGCGTCCCATCATATGTCAAGGAGATAAATAATTGCGTGCCAAGGCCCCATGACCAAGGTCCCCAAGTGGATAAATAAAACACACGAACAAGCAGATTTTGGTTTATGGGTTCAAATAGGGGCACAAATAATAAAATTATTATTATTATTATTATTTTTAAGGCCAACTGTCATGGATGATGGAAGTTATGGGCCAACAATATCTTGGAAGATCTCTGGAGGCCAGGAAGGACAGACCTCTCCCCATGAGACCTCAGAGAGCTAGCATGTAAACAGCACTGAGATGGGTCAAGGCAGTTTCCTGGTCCCAAGTAAGTTTTCATCCAAAAATAATGAATAAATGGATCACAGTGGACATTGCAGCATCTCAGCCAGTGGTTTTGACTAAGAACATCCTTGAAGAATACTTTTCTACCCCATTAAGCACTGCTGTTGTAAGGGATCCAATTAAGAGAAGCTGAATGACGCGGGATCTTACTTGTATCCTGAAAATTCACATCGTTCCCATTGTACGCGTTCTTGAGTTTGTTAGTCATGACTCTCAGGGCCATGATCTGCTGCCTTATGTAGGTGTCGGGCCTGGTGATGTCGACGTCAACCTCAGGATTGTTGATCTGGTTGGTGAGCCCATCATTCATGATCTCTGGGAGGTATCTGTGCATCAGAATGAAGAACGGCATCAGAATGATATGCCATGACCAAGAAATTTCACTAGTCCCTGACACAAAAAGCCAGAAAGTTCAATTTGTCATTCCAATGTATATGCAGCATTTGCTGCAAACATGCCTCCATGACCACTCACTCAATTCAGTTAGTCTTTTAAAAGTTTTTCTTTTTTAAAGGAACAGGCAACCTGTTTTTCAGAATGGTCACTTTAGCTCACCAGTAAACCCACCGTTTGAAACTGAATAAGCCGTGAGTCCCAGTCAGGCAGGCTTTACATGTATTAGATGATGATGATGATGATGATGATGATGATATACTGTGCTGGTTTACACATTTAGGAAAGCACTTTGCTTAGGAGCAATTAAGAAATGTATTGTAGTTAATGCAGGTTTTTTTTTAAGGTAGGGAGATGGGAAAGAAAAGGATTTTCAAAAAATATGTATCTGCATTAAAGAAGGAACTGTATGTTATTTTGACAGGGTTTAATGTAAACTCTGTTAATATTATTAACATGCCGTGACAGAAATGAATGCCTGCAAGTGTAGAAAATGTTATGTGAGAAGCACAAGGAAACTGGCACAAACAATCTGCATCTGTGCCTCAGAGGAAGTGCTTTTAGATAAAGAATAATAATCTCATTTTAATTCTCTTCACTGTCAATATTATGAACTAAAAGCTATAGATCGGATTTAAACTAAGGCTACAATCCTAAATACTGCACACATTATACATTTAAAGCACCTCCCCAAAAGAATCCTGAGAATTGTAGCCCACCCCTCACATCCCCGAACACCCTGAACAAACTCCAGTTCCTAGTATTCTTTGAGCAGGGCTTGTGCTCTAAACTCACACAGCCACAGACTAGGAAGTAAACACCACTGAACACAGTTAGCCATGACTCAACTCTTGATGATTTCAAAGGGAATTAAATGAAACTAATGGGCAGAGAAATCCAAACTGGCAGAGGCACCAAGTTCCATGTAACAAGGGGGGGGGGGGCTGGTTGTGTGTGTAAGGCCCTCCGCCATCTTGGGGAGGCCTGGTGGGGCCCAGTCCCTCAAGATTGGGGGCGGGGCTCAGTCCCATAGAGTGGGCACGAAGTTGGGTCTGGCAAGAGTGTAGCAGCCCCAAATGCCCTGTTTCGAGGACTTATGCCTCCTACCACAGCACAGGCTGCCTGTTGGCTTCTCACAGTGGTGGCTGATGCACTTGTGGGGCTCCTCACTGCCAGCGGAGGCATACAGGATTGCGAACGACTGGTCATGTTGTGCGGATGCCTGATGATCGTCTTCCGAAGCAACTACTCTATTTCAAATTTCAAAATGGAAAGCGTAATGCTGGTGGTCAACAAAAGAGGTTTAAAGACTTTCTCAAGGCAAATCGAAGAAAATGTAGTAAAGACACCGACAACTGGGAAACACTGGCCTCTGAGCGCTCCAATTGGAGAACAGCCTTTACCAAAGGTGTCATGGGCTTTGAAGATGCTCGAACTCAGGATGCAAGGGAGAAACGTGCTAAGAGGAATGCATGCTTGGCAAATCCACACTGTGATCAACTCCTGCTCGGAAACCTATGACCCCTCTGTGGAGGGACGTGTGGATCCAGAATTGGCCTCCACAGTCACTTAAGGACTCACTGTTAAGACCGTGTTTATGGAAGACAATCTGACTCAGCTATGAGTGATCACCAAAGAAAGAAGATTACGACCTACCGCATTTTTTGCTCTATAAGACTCACTTTTTCCCTTCTAAAAAGTAAGGGGAAATGTGTGTGCGTCATATGGAGCGAATGCAGGCTGCACAGCTATCACAGAAGCCAGAACAGCAAGACGGATTGCTGCTTTCACTGCGCAGCAATCCCTCTTGCTGTTCTGGCTTCTGAGATTCAGAATATTTTTTTTCTTGTTTTCCTCCTCCCAAAACTAAGTGCGTCTTGTGGTCTGGTGCGTCTTATAGAGTGAAAAATACAGTATATACTGAAAGTCTGCATTAAATCTCATCTCCACTGAACTGATGGATAGGTGGGATACCTTCTGTCTATGTATTGATCAAATTCTACAAACACCTTCCATATCTTCTTGAAATCATTTCTTCTACATATTCCCCGCCTTGCCTTAATGGCACATGTTAATTTAAAGCTGACCAAAAGTCCAGAGGTAGCATTATTATTAATTTACGATGGGGTGGAAGTTTCGCAGGCTATGAAGGACTTGCTCACAAATTTATCGACAGCTGCACAAATGATGATACCTAGGAATTGGGAGGGGCAAGCAGAATATAAAATGGAAGAATGGTATAAAGAGGTGTGGGATATAGCTATTAATGATAAATTGACATGTACCTGCTTTCTTTTTAATTGGATAGGTTTCACAAAATCCACACATAATTGACCCAATTATACAGAAATAGGGTCTCACTTTTTTTTGTTTATTTCAAAGACTTATAATTTAATTTTGATGAAACATGTTTTGTAAAGTTGCATCAATATGTGAGAAAGTGTTGTGTGTCTCTCTCCCTTTTATTTTTTTACATAGATGTCTTTTTAGGAATGTTATTTCTGCTCATTTCTTTTTCTGAGTACCGTTAGTGACAGAGGCCATCCTGCTCTGTATTTCTGAAAAGACCAAAAAGCTCAGAAAAAGCTATGACTGCGTTTTCACTTGTTCATTAGGGTTCCATTCACATTATAAGAGCTGTTTCACACTCCCAGCTCCCTGGTCGTATATGGCCTGATAAAATTACATCTCTGAGAATGAGGCATTCCTGGCTGCCTTTCAAATAAAGGGCTAGAAAGATCAATCCTTCTCTGTGTTACTTGCTAATTGATGGCCTAGAATTAACTCTGCCTGGCCTCTTCTTAATTAATAGTGGCAGTTGTAGAGAAAGGAGTGATTTTAATAATCACAAGTAATCTTGACATGATGACTTCTTCACAGTCGCACAGCTTCCTTTGCCCTAAAACTTAAGTTAGGAAAGGGCTGGAGGTTTCCCCTGCTCAGTGATATAAGAGGCCCATTTTAAGGCATGCCTACTATAAATGGAAATTAGTTTGATATCAGTTTGTCATGCCTGTTTAAGAATGAATGCTGGGATTTGTAGCTTGGTAAGCGTACTGAGTGTGCCTAGCCTCTGGTTTCCAGATATAGTTCTGAAAACTTCTTTATTCCTTTGTTGGAAATTGAGCCTTACATTGTCTACTCATAAGTACGTCCTACTGTATTCAATGGAGCTTACTCCCAGGTAACTGGGTAAAAACTGTGCAACCTTACACTGCAATCCTAAGCACTTTTACTCAGAACTAAGTTCCACTGAGTTCAATTGGATTTACTCTCAGGTATGTGGGTATGATCTTTTATTTCCCCTCTCTTCCCCCCTCCCCTTTTATGATTACCCATTCTGAGACCCCACGGCTAATTCTCCCCTGGCCTCCTCGCTGGCTCAAGTAGGACTAATTCAGCCAGCTAGCCCTATCTAATGCTTATTAGATGGATTTCCTCCAAACCGATCTTTGAACTTTGAATTTTATTGTTATTCATGCTTTTATACTGTATTTTATGCTGCTTCTATGTTGTATATGTTGTATATGACGTGGGATTTTAGGGATGCAGGTGGCACTGTGGGTTAAACCACAGAGCCTAGGACTTGCCAATCAGAAGGTCGGCGGTTCAAATCCCCGCGACAGGGTGAGCTCCCGTTGCTCGGTCCCAGCTCCTGCCAACCTAGCAGTTCGAAAGCACGATTCTATAATTCTATGAAAGTGCAAGCAGATAAATAGGTACCGCTCCGGCGGGAAGGTAAACGGCGTTTCCGTGAGCTGCTCTGGTTCACCAGAAGCGGCTTAGTCATGGTAATTTAACGCTGTATTGTTTTTAATACTTGATTGGGAGCCGCCCAGAGTGGCTGGGGAAACTCAGCCAGATGGGCGGGGTATAAATAATAAATTATTATTATTATTATTATTATTATTATTATGCTGGCCACATGACCCAGAAGCTCCCTTGGCCAATAAAGCGAGATGAATGCCGCAACCCCAGAGTCGGCCATGACTGGACCTAACAGTCAGGGGTCCCTTTACATTTACCTTTATGTTGTATTACATTTAAGTGTTTTAAATTTGTTTTAAATTTGTTGTTAGCCACCCTGAGCCCAGTTTTCTGAACCGGGAAGGGCGGGGTGTAAATAAAAATTGATGATGATGATGATGATGATGATGATAATGATAATTCTTCTTCTTCTTGTTGTTGTTAGTATTAGTATTATTATATCCTGCCTTTTCCCCTGACAGGGACTCAAGGCAGCTTAGAGCTACAATTGTATTCCATTTCATTTATCTTTTGAAGGCGTTGTACACAATCCCTTCCCTCACATAGTTCTACTTTACAACAACCCTGTGAGGTAGGTTCAGCTGAGAGGTTGTAATTGGCTGAAGATGACAGGTGTAGATGTGTATTTGACATCTATGTGTGCAGGAGATAAAACATAGGAGAAGCTCCCTGAGGTGGAATAGGATGTCCCTATTTCCATTTGAGTAATGTTGGAGGGTATGTTTCTGTGTGTGTACCTTCAACACAGTATTTCAAAACAATGCTTCACAAAGTGAACAATGCATGGTTCCATGGAAGTTTCAGATGCAAATATTAATATATATTTTTGGTCTCCCCCCCTTACTTAGCTTTGGTGTGCCCATTCCAGCAGTCCTCCTCATTGGACAGGCCTGCTGTCACTCTTTCTTCTTTGCAGATACTGTATGGTAAAGTTGACCAGAACTTTTTGGAAAGCTTCAGTTTTTCTTTAATGTCAATTACCTGATCAAAAGACAAAAGAAGGGCATTTGGTTAAAAAGAGATAAGAAAAGATGAATAGACTCAGATTGTGTGCGCGTGTGCGCGCACATGTGCATATTTTTTTCTTTTCAAGAATTACAAAATGGCAAATATTATTCTTGATAGTGGAGACTATTAAGGAACTCAAGA